AGCGGGTGGCAGCTGCGGTGGCCTCAGGGACGAGGACGGTCCTGTACGAGGGTCCCCTGCGGCCCCTCTGTCCCCTCGCCCCCAACAATGTCAACACGATGGCAGCAGCGGCCGTGGCGGCGCCAGGGCTGGGCTTCGACGGCGTCACCGCCTGCCTGGTGGCCGACCCCAGGTGTGTCACCTACCCCCTGTCACCTCCCCCTCTGTCACTGATTGGTGTCACCTCCCCCTGTGACCTCCCATGGTGACATCCTAGTGCCACCCCCGAGTGTCCGTGTTGTCCCCTCATTGTCCCCTCCTTGTCCCCCCAATGCCTCCCTCTCCCTGTTCCCTCCTTGTCCCCTGAGTGTCCCCACTGTCCCCTGAGTGTCCCCCCAATGTCACCCCCCAGTGCCACCCCATTGTCCCCTCGTCCCCTCCTTGTCCCTCCCAATGCCACCCTCTCCCTGTCCCCTCCTTGTCCCCCCCAATGCCACCCTCTCCCTGTCCCCTCCTTGTCCCCTGTGTGTCCCGGTGTCCCCGCAGTGTCCCCGACTGGCACGTGGTGGAGGTGGAGGTGACATCGGTTGGAGACAAGGGGCGGTGCCTGAGTGTCACCAGCATCCGCCGGAACCCAGCAGGACCCGCTGCTGTCACAGGCAGTGCCACCCTGGGCTCCTTCTGGAGCTCCCTGCAGGGTGGGTGCCACTGTCCCCAATGTCACTTTTGTGTCCCCAATGTCCCCAATCCTCCCCCTGTCCCCAATGTCCCCAATCCCCACTAATGTCCCCAGTGTCACTCTCTGCCCCCCACCCCAGCCTGCACCGGACACGGTGGGTGTGTCCGTCTCTGCTGAGCCCTCAGGACCGCGACGAGCCGGGACCCCCCAAGGACCCCCCGAAAACCCCCAGACGACCCCGGGGACCCTTTGCGGACAACTGGGGACCTTTTGGCGACATTAAAACCTCCCCCAAACCCCACAGTGACGCCACCCTTCTTGTCATGGCTGCGCCCGTGGGACAGAAGCGGCTTCCTCGGCCTCTGATTGGTGGAGGCGCCAGGGGTCACTCAGGGGTCACTCAGGGGTCACTCAGGGGTCTGAGGGGGAACAGGGGGGGTTGCAGAGGGTCTTGGGGGAGCTGAGGGAGGGGAGGGAGGGAGGTGTCAGAGATCGGGGGGGGGGGGGCAGAGGTGATGGATCAGCCCCGGAGTGGGGGGGGGATGAGACCACCCCCCATCCCTGAGGGACCCCAAATATCCCCTGGGATCCCCTCCCCCCCTTCCTGCTTGAGACCTTCCCAGGAGCCTCCACTACCCCCCCCCAGAGGTTCCCCCCCAGTGACCCCTGAGATCCCTCCAGTGACCCCTTGGACCCCGCCAAGACACCCCCCCATGTGCCCTGGAACCCCCCGAAACCCCTCCAATGACTCCTGGCCCCCCCCCAGTGCCTCCCTGGAACCCCCCCCCAGTTATCACTGGGAACTTCCTGAGACACCCCCACCAGCACCAGCACCACAAGTGCCCTTTGACCCCACTGTCCAGTTGTCAATAAAGGGTCAAATCAGCAACGGAACCGACTCCAGTGTGACCAGTATGGGAACTGGAAGGACACTGGGAGGGGAATGGGGGTACTGGGAGGGACACTGGGAGAGGAGTGGGAGTGAGATATTTTACCAATTCATTTTGATTTTATTTTTAATGGGAGCACTGGGGACGAGACTGGGATGGGATTGAGGGCACTTGGGAGGGACCGGGGGCACTGGGGAAGACCTGGGATGGGAGTGGGTTGCACTGGGGAGAGACTGGGATGGGACTGAGGGCACTTGGAAGGGACTAGGGGCACTGGGGAAAGCCTGGGATGGGACTGGGAGCACTGGGTTGCAGTGGGTCTCTCCCTGGGGAGGGACTGAGATGGGATTGAGGGCACTTGGGAGGCACTGGGATGGGAACTGGGGAGGGACTGGGATGCATGGGGATGGAATTGGGTCAGGGTTCTTCTTTAAGGAAGAAAAGACCCTCAGCCCCTCCACCCACGTGTGCCCCACTGACCACAGGACACGGGGGGAAGGGACCTCGCTGCCAATTCGTGGCTTTTCAGGGTCACTCCGAGCCGTGTCTTTGTCCCCTTTGGCCTCTTCTGTTTCTCTCTGATTTACGTCCAGTCCCTCTGACACTGCAAAGAAATAAGTTACCAAAGTCAGCCACATAGACAGGGGGACCTTAACTGCTGCCCAATTGTCACTTCTCTTTAGACAAGCCCTCTGGGGTCCAAAGACAACCTGCACAAACAAACACTGACCTCACTTTAAGGCCCTGCCCTCAGTGCCTGAGCCTATCCACAGGGGAACTGGGAGGTCTCCTTTCTACTCCACCTACCCCCAAGTCTACACTGCAGGGCAGAGCAGTTCCAGGCCCAACACAAACTCCAAGGACACATTTCCAGACAAGGGCTGTGGTGCAACCAGGAGAGAGAGCTCTGAGAAAGGAACGACGCCCAAACGGATGTGCTGCCGCACGAGAAGACGGAGGATACGGCGAGACTGAACGGAGGAGGCTCTGAGGAGCCTGAAAAGACACTCTGACAGAATGGCCTGGGACAAGAACTGCCCACAAAATTGCTGAGATGGATGGGAGACAAGGCTATGCTCAGAATCTTCTTAGATTCTCACAAGTCCCAGGTGGGATGACAAGGGATGACTGCACGGCACAGCCACCGATACAACCTGTGAGGAGGCTGTAAAAGACACCTGACCTGACACTTCTCAGATGCGATTCCGATGCACGTCCAAGCTAGTGAGCCAAAGAACGGATGGTATGGGCACTGGGCTGGGCAGTGCAGAGGTTCAAGACCCTAGGAATGATGCCTTGGCATCTCAGATAAGAACTTGGAGGGCAGGAAGGCCTTTGAAGGCAGAAAGCAAAGATGTGGTGACTGTGAATAGTAAGACACGAAACACAGACTGGACAAAGGACACGACACAGACCTGAACTGCTCTGCCCTGCACATCCTACTCCATGATGAAAAGTAAACTGCTCCTCCTATGTGTGCCAAGGGCCTGTTAGGGCAGACCCTTTCCCCTCTGCTCATTTGACAATCCCTCCCTCCTAACCATAAAACTGGACCCAGCTCCCATCCCCTCTCCAGGTGGGAGCCCTCCACTTATCTTTCCCACAGCTGGGGATGTGAATCCATCTTCGATGTGAAGGAAGGACGCCCGGCTGGCTCAGAGGGTCCTGTGATCCCTGACTCGGTCGCTGCGAGAAAGAAAACAGAAACTGAGACAAGAGTTGGGCAGCACGTGGGAGATAACCCTGCAATTGGCTACTCACCCTCCCCTGAGCTGAGAGGTTCTCGGGCCACTGGCTCCGACCCCAGTCAGAGGCTGCTGCCATCACCGTGTGCCATACCTGGGGGAGTGAGAAAAAAAGTTATGGGGTGTTTCTGAAAGTAAGGGAGACCCCAGCACCTCCTCCCTACCTCCCTGACTCAACCTCAGTGCTCCTCCTTGGCCAAAGGAGGCCAGAGGGCACCTGCAGCAGGAAATGTTGAGCCTTAATTGATGACCCTGGTAGTACTAGGAGATTACTCACAAGGACAGCTGAAGACCATCACACCTAACTGGCAGGTGGCTCCAGCCCTCTGAGGCTGCACACATTCTCTGCAAAGTAAAGAAGCCAAAGGCAAATGTACAGACTGAGGTACTGCCTGAAAGGATGGCTTTCCTGGGGGAGCTCCTACCTACCTCTCCTCCACAGCGACCTCTTACCAGCAGGGTCCTCCTGCTGCCTCCCCAACTCACCTACAAGGCTCCTCTCTCTTCAGCTGCTCCCAACACCGCCCCTGCAAATGAAATGGGCAAATGCTCAAACACTCAGCTCTCAAACATTCAGGGATTGCTCACAACGAAAACCAAAAACCTCTAAACCCTACACACTCTCTGCTACTCTACCTAGCCGGGACTCTAGACACCCAAGCAGGGCATCACAAGACCATCCTGCTCACAGACTGGACAGCCATCGGCTCCACTCTCTAAGGGAACTGACGTTGATGTCAGACTCTGAGCAATATTCTATCTACCCACTGATCCACGGAGCAGGGCAGAGCAGGTCCAGGCTGACCCCAAGTGACACACCCCACACCTGTGACCACAAACACCATGTGAAACAATTAAGAGATGAAGGACACAACACATGGACGAGACAAAGGACGTGACACAGACTGGAACTGCTCTGCCCTGCACACGTGAATCCCATGAGAAAAAAAAAGCCCTTCCTTTGATGTGTCCAAATAACCTGTCCCAGGATACCCCCTGCACCGGACTAATTGCAAAAATCCCTCCAGGTGAGGCACACACTTGCACCCACTCCCAACCCCTCTCTGGGTCTTTGCCCTGCACTTATCTTGCCGAGAGCAGGGGATGCCAATCCATCTTGGATGCACAGGAGGGGCACCAGGGCTGCCTCAGAGGTTCCTGCCATCGTCACACTACTCGGAGTCAGCTGTGAGAAAGAAAACCAGACACCAGATCTGAGGAGTGTGGCACGAGGCCCCAGCCCCCACGATCCCTCTACTCACTGTCACCCAGGCAGGTCCTTGGGTCGCTGACTCTGACCAGACTTGGACAACGTGCTGTCATCTGCTGGGATACCTGAGAGAGAGAGAGAGAGAGAGAGAGACAAAATTAGAGGGCATCTCTAAAGCTGCAGTGGATCCCCGCTCCTCCTGCTGCCTCCCCGACTCACCTCCAATGCTCATCTGCTCCCAAAGGTTACCCGGATGGCACCTGCAATCAAAAAAGCTCAGTGCTTCGTTGCTGATCCTTTCAATACTCGGAGATCACCTACAAGGGCAGCTCCAGAGGACCAAACTGTGTCCGTCACCTCACTGTGAGTTGGCTTCGGCCCTGTCAGGCTGTGTACATCTCCTGCAAAAAAACCCAGAGGCAAGTGTGAGTACTGAGATACTGCCCAAGAGTTTGCTGCTCCCGTGGCAGCTTCTGTCTGACACCCCTTGACCGTGACCTCTTACAGGCAGGGTCCCTGTCACGTTGGACTGCGCGTTAGAAGTCTGTGCACTGCCTGGTAAACAAAAAACCAAGTATGTACACAGATTCACCACAAATACACCACCTGCAAAGAGCAGCTAGTTTTGTCCTGCAGTCACTGCTCACCTTCCTCACCGGGCTCACCTTCCCTCTGGTGCCTATCGTCTGTTGGGCCGAGGGCTCTGCATCTTAAAAAAAAACAAAAAACCAAAACTAAACCACCAAACCATCCAAATGACCAAGTAAACCTAGGCCCAAAAGTCATGTCTTGGCTCTGACCTCACATGAGGACCCACCTTCTGACTGTGCTCCTCCAGCCTCCTCTGTTCATCTCTGCTTTACATCCAGTCCATCTGATGCTGCAAAGAAATGAGTTAGCAAAGTCAGCCACATAGACAGGGGGACCTTAACTGCTGTGCAACTCTAATTTCTCCTTAGACAAGCCCTCTGGGGTCCAAAGACAACCTGCACAAACAAACACTGACCTCACTTTAAGGCCCTGCCCTCAGTGCCTGAGCCTATCCACAGGGGAACTGGGTGGTCTCCTTTCTACTCCACCTACCCCCAAGTCTACACTGCAGGGCAGAGCAGTTC